GATGAGAGAGAATATCCATTGGCCACCCCCTGCAGGCCCCCACTGGGGATCAGGCCCACAACCTGGGCATGTGCCCGGACTGGGAATCGAACCGGCAACCTCTTGGTGCATGGGTTGATGCTCAACCACCGAGCCACACTGGCCAGGCGACTTGCTCCTTCTTTAACATGCTTTTCACACCTGGTGGCTCAGTTTGACAATGGCCCCTTCTCATGACTTATTTTTCTTTGTGGCACAGATGCCGTCAATTTCATTTCTCTGACTTGGTTTTCGCTGCTTCCCCAGAGCAATGCCTGGATATGCAGGGCACACAGAAGTAGGTTTACAGTTGTGAGTACACAAAACATGGAGTTTATTCTTGTGCTCTTATTTATTAATTGTATTATTTTCCATAGGAACAACTGTAAACCTACTTTTGCCCCACCCTTTAATAGATGATCAGTAAATATTTATTAAGTAAATGAATACATTATTTCATTTGAAGTTTCTCAACAATTTAATGCGGCACGCAGGGCAGAGGGTGCTTTATTTATTTCACAGATGTGGAAACTGAGGCTCGGAAGTCTGACTTCACTAAAGTCACTGGGTAACTGAGGGAGTCCCAGTACTTTTGATTCCTGATCAGGGGCTCTGTGTGGGGGGAACGGGGGTGGAGAGGCTTTTCACGCCCTTGGCCTGTGTCCCAGACCTGTACAAAGTCTCATTGTGAAATGCAAATAAAAACCACAATGAGCTATCACCTCACACCTGTCAGAATGGCTCTATCAATAAATCAACAAACAGTAAGTGCTGGTGAGGCTCTGGCCGGTTTGGCTCAGTGGTAGAGCATTGGCCCTTGGACCGAAAGGCCACGGGTTCAATTGCTGGTCAAGGACACGTACCTACGTTGCAGGTTCAATCCTGGTCCCGGTCAGGGTCATTGGGGAGGCAACCAATTGATGTGTCTCTCCCACATCTCTGTCTCTCTCTCCCTCCTTCCCTCCCACTCTGTCTAAAACAAATCAGTGGAAAAGCATCCTCAGGTGAGGATTAACAAACAAGCAAAAAAAAGTGCTGGCGAGGATGTGCCAAAAAGGGAACCTCGTGCAGTTGGTGGGAATGCGGACCGGGGCAGCCACTGTGGAAAACAATATGGTGTTACCTCAGAAAATTAAAATGGAACTTCCTTATGACCCAGCAATTCCACTTTCGTGTTCTTATCCAAAGAAACACTGATTTGAAAGAATATATGTGCCCTGGCCAGGGAGCTCAGTTGGTTAAAGCATAGTCCCCATACACCAAAGTTGCAGGTTCGATCCTAAGTCAGGGCACATCCCAGAATCAACCAATGTATCACATGATCTCACTTATTTGTGGAATATAATGAACAAAACAGACCCAGAGACATGAAAGTGGGGTGCAGACTGACAAACCTCAGAAGAGGTGGATGTGAGGGGAGGGAAGAGATAAACCACAGAACTTATACACATGTATGCGTAAACAAGGACATAGACAATAATACTGGGGGGGGATGGGGAGAAGAGTGTCAATGGGGGGGAAAAGGAGAAACAACTGTAACAGAAATAAATAAATAAAATGTACTGATGCCTGAGTTTCAAAAAAAAAAAGATTCAATCAATGAATGCATAAATAATTGGAACAACAAATCAATGTTTCTCTCTGTCTCTTTCTCTCTCCTTTCTTCTCGTTCTCTTTCTCAAAAAACTAAATCAAGACTATATTGGAGTGTTCTTCACAGTGGCCAAGATGTGGAAGCAGCCGAGTGCCATCAGCAGATGAGTGGCTAAAACAGCTGTGGTACATCTACACAATGAAATACTACTCAGTCATGAAAAAAAAAAAAGGAAATTTTATCCCATGCAACAGCATGGATGGACCTGGAGAGCATTATGCTGAGTGTAATAACCCAGTCAGAGAAAGACAAGTACAATATTACTTCACTTATATGTGGAATCTGATGAACAAAATTTACTAACAAACAAAACAGAAACTGATGGGTGAAAAAGGTGAAGGGATTAAGCAAAAAAACCCAAACTCATAGACATGGACAACAGTGTGGTGATTACCAGAGGGAAAGGGGGTGGGGGAGGTAGTAGAGGGTGTAGGGGGATAAATGGTGATGGAGGGAGACTTGACGTGGGGTGGCGAAACACAATACAATATACAGATAATGTATTATAGAATTGTACACCTGAAACCTATATAATTTTATTAACCAATGTCACTACCAATAAATCCAATAAAAAAAGAAATAAAATAAAAGGTATCATTGGGGCCTCAGCTCAGAAAGTATATAAGCTATTCAGGCGTATGGTGAAAAGAAAAGGACGTAAGTTATTGCCAACAAAGAAACTGGGAAGATAGGAATTTCAGAAACATCTGCCTGTGGGTTGGGAGAGGAGGGTGACATCATTGAACAGGTGACTTTTCAGAGCCTTCGGTTCCACCCTTACTAGTGCTATTTACCCTGCCCCCAGAGGTGGTGAGCTCCCGTCACTGGAGGTGTTCGAGCAGTGGCTGTGTGTCTGTTTACAGAGCATGCCTGAGCTGGAGAGCAGTACCCAAACCCTGGTAGAGGCAGGCCTGCTGTGTCACAGAACAGGCGCCGCCCGCAGACAGCGGTCCCCATCGCCAACACAAGAGGCTTTGCGCCCCCTGGTGGACATGATTTTAAACTGCAGACCCTCTTCCGTGGAGAGAAGCCTGCAAGCCGCCTGTGTCCCCAGAATCGTGGGCAGTGAAGCCAGAACAGTCTCTAACGGTTTCAGGAGGTCCCACACAGTTCGTGGGAGGTCAGCCGGGCCCCTGCACTGGGCCACGCAGCAGCAGGCGTCAGAGGTCGCTATTACAGGGACGATTATTAATGGGATTGGGAGGAACACATCCTTCCTGGATGACAGCCTGGGAAGCTGCCTGGGGAGGGCTCATTTGTCCATTCTGTATTTGGGAGTGACCCTGACCTGTCTCTTGCCCAGAAGTAACAGTTCCCAACTGTGTTCAGTTCTGATGAGTCTCCATGAAGCCACTGAAAAAAAAAACCACTTTAAGTTTTTGCCCCATGGACATCAGGTTTTGAAAGACTCTGTCTACCACAGTGCATGCTTTAAATATGTTTGTTATACTGTTATTTATGTTACTATCTTATTATATCATGTGTCATCAAAGGCCTCTGCACCTGCCAGGAGAAGCCGAGATGAACTTCGTGCATTAGCATCTCCTCACGGAGTTCACTTCATTTGAGCAAAACCGAAGGCACTTGAGAGCCAGCGGAACTGCGCATCCGGTCTGCGGCGAGTGTGGGATTCTGCTGGGCCGAGGGGACCCTGCTCCCTGCCCTGCGCTGAGCCCCTGTCCCAGCTGCTCCTCTCATCATTCCTCCTTCCGGTTTCACTGCTTTCTGAGAAAACGGCATAACTGTCATCACCCAAGCCCGGACCTGGGCGTCAGGGGCTCCCAGGAAATGACACTGGGAAGCCCCAGCACGGTGCCTGGGGCCATGCTTCTCCTGCACGTCTGCAGGGTGAACCACAGGCTCCCGGGGACGGGCGTCCTTGGTGTGGCTTTCCCTCACAGAGCAGCCCGGGAAGTGGGGGTGTGCAGGTGGGGCTGTTGGGAGTCGCCTCCTGCTGCTCCTCAGGGGTCAGACCCGGGACAGCCCTCCCTCTCCCTAAAGGCTCCCTCCTCATCCTCATCTCAGCCCTGTCTTGGGAGCCAGGCTGACCCCAGCATGAACCTCAGGAACCCCGTGCCCCTCGCCCAGGGACAGACCTCCACAGACCCTGCCCCTTCGTGATGGGAAGACCACCACCTGCCACCTCCACACCTCACCCCTCCAAAGGGAAGGGGAAGCAGAGCAGAAGCCTAGATGATCCTCCTCTGGGACACTTGCCCTGGCACCTGCCAAGCAGAAGTCACCAGTGCTACTTTGTCCCCACTGCCCAGTGGGCGTGCCCCTCACGGAGCTCATAAAGGCAGGGCCCTGCCTCCTCTGTAGGCCCCCACCCCTCCCCTATGAGCAGTTTGCTTACAAAGATTCTGGAAATCTAAAGAGTATGATTAAAAGATGTTTAAAATACGCACATTCAGATTGCATGACCACCCACTTTAAACTCCTCATCCTAACCTTGGGCTGTCTCAGGGGTCCTAGGAGTGGCCACCAAGCCAGTGTGGAGGTGACCTGACCAGCCCTGGACAGGCTCTGTCTGGGCTGCCACCACCACCTCTGCATTTGCCACCAGACGCTGGGTGGTTTGCAGACACCAAGCCCTTGCTCAGTAAATCACGTGTTTTCTGGGTGTCTCTGAAACTCAGAGAGCACTTGAGTAGTAATGTGGATTACCATCATGGGGAGGGACCAGAGGAAGAAGTCAGGACAGGTTGTCACCACTAGCATCTGGCACACGAGAGAGAGTGTGTGGGTGGGTCCCCAGCATCTGCCAGGCTTCCTGCACAAGTATCCAACCAAGCTGGGGTGCTAGATCTGGAGCCCGAATCCCTGTTGTGCTCACAGACGTGGGGAACAGACAAATGGTTGCCGGAGGGCCGGGGTTGGGAGCTGGGTGGACAGGTGAAGGGACTAAGTACAAGCTGGTAGTTACAGAACAGTCACAGGGATGAAAACTACAGCGTAGGAAACACGGCCAACAACACTGGAATCACTTCACGTGGTGCCAGGCGGGTACTGGACATACCGCGGGGAGAGCTTTGCAGTGTGTGGTTGTCTGACACGTGTGCACCTGAAACCCATTCAGAACAACACTGAGTGGAAATTATGCCTGAAAAATAAAATTTTAAAAATAAACGAACAAAAGAATCCCTGTCAGGGAGAAGCTGGGGCATCGCGGGGCCTGTGCTCCTGGGTCTGTGCTGGGAGGAGGCAGTGATCTGCATCATCTGTTCATTTGTGAACCTCTTAACATACCACTTTTTTCCATAAACTATTTATTGTTGACATCAATATAATCTGGTAAAAAATAAAATAAAGGATATGACTGGCTACTTTTTCAAACCATGAAATGTATTTTCTGCTTGTTAAAATTATTTGTGAGGAAGTCCGTTTTGACATATGTTGTCGTCAGCGACCCCTGGCTTTTCAGGAATCCAGTTCGTAAAAAGTGGAGGTAAACCCAGAGCCTCCGCTGGTACATAGCAGGTGCTCAATTAATGCTCATGGGAGGAAGGGCTGAAGAATCCCTTTATTCCTGGCACCCAGGTGTCCGTCCCTGGGCACAGCCAATGTGCCCGAGGAGATGGGGAGAGGGTGGAGCTGAGCCCAGGGCCGAGCGGAGCGTCCAAGGATCTGGGATCGGGGGTGGTAAGCTCTGCCCAAGCCCCCAGCCCACTCCTGGCCCCAAGAGTCCCAGCGGGGGGTGAGATTCATTGCTCTGGGTGAAGACAGTCCCTAGGACACACAGGTGTGTTCAACCATTAATGCACCAGCAGGCAAATGTCAGCATTGCAACCGGCAGAAGTGACCCATGACTCCATTCTCGTCTCAACCTCTACATCTTGGACCCATGAAAAAGATGTGAGACAAGAAGAAATGAGGCAACATTAGGGGCCAGCAGGCTGAGCTGGGCTCTGTGATCTTGGGCAAGTCACCCCTGTCTCTGGCCTCAGTTGTGTTTTCTACAAAGGGAGAGGTTGGACACGTTGCTTTCAACGGTCCCTCTCACTCCAGTTACATAGTTTGAGGATCACGAGAAAGGTTATGGGGTGTGGGTTCGTCCTGGACTGAAGTCAAGGAGACAGAACAGTCTCAGGAGAGATGGAAGGGTAAGATCCCTGCCTGGCCCGTCTGGGTGTGCAACTGTCAGAGCCCCAGACAGGACTCAGCCAGGAGTTTCCCTGCTTGCAAGTGGTCAGAGCTTTGAGTCCCCAGATCCAAAAACCGTCAGTTTCCCTGTACAGTGACTCAGGCCAACTCAGGCTAAGCCAGACAGGGTTTGCTGAAGGCACAGGTGGTTTCTCCTTCCAAGGAAGACAAAGACCCAAGAAGTTCTGCTTTTGATAAGTGAAGCACCCCCTGCGAGTTCTCCCCAAGCTCCTCCGTGGTGCAGGGCGGAGGCTCCGACCGGCCCAGGAGGCCCCAGCCAGGGCGGGGAGCTGGGAAGCTGGGGAGCGGAGAGAAGCTGAAACCACGGCACAGGCCTTCTCAGGCTTCGGAGCAGCTCTCAGTTCGCCGTTCTCTTAGCTCACGCGGAGTGAGCGCCCCACAGAGCGGGTACGCCCTGAGCACGCAGGGACACTCTTACTGAGCTTTCCGGCTCTCCTGAGAGGTCCGGCAGGGCAGCATCCCCCCTTTACAGATGAGAAAACTGAGGCTCCCGAGAGGTGGGACAACTTGCCCAAAGTCACATGGCAGAGACGGGTGCAGGAGCAGAGGGAGCCACAGGTGGAGGGGGTGGCAGTCTTCATTGGGCCATAGTCACAGAGTCACCAAAAGAAAAACCGTGGACGAGGGGATTGTTCCGCCAAGAGCCGAGGCAGAGAGGTAGGGCCCCGGTCTCTGCTTGAGAAGCGCCCAAGACACTCAGAGTCACAGGAAACAGGCAACAGCGCTGGGTTCTGGAGAGACACCCCTGTTCTGGGAGTCTCTGCCTCTGTTTCCAAGCCGTTAAACCTCACGGGGCTGATGTGTGAATTGAATGAGATAAAAAATAGGAAGAACCCTTAGCACAAGGCCTGCAGACAGTAAGCCCTTGGATGTCAGGTATTATTATCACTAAGGCTGACAAAGCAATGATCCTTTAGTCCTGTTCATACATCAGCCCCGAGGGCGTGATTTCATGAGCAAGCCCCTTTGACAGATGAGGCCAGCTGCGCCTCAGTGAGGGACCTCTGCTCCCTCCCTCTGCCAACTGAAGGAGATGGGCTGGATGCTCTCAGCACCCAGCTGCCTCTCCCTAGCTGGGCAGGTAGCCAGGGGTAAGGCAGAGAGCGAGTCCACGCCCTGTGCCCCGCGTAGGCCCAGGGCTGCCCTACCCAAAGACTGATGCCCCCACAATGTCCTGGCTGTGAGCCTCCCAGTTCTCAGCCAGCCCAGGCCCTCGGGCAGCTTTAAGGTCCCAGACAACAGATCCTGAACGAGCAGAGCCCGCCTGGCCGTCCCTGCTGCCCTGGGAGAGGGAGGACACCCTGCAGCTAGCTACGTCACGAGAGACCCGGTCTCCATCCCATCAGTGCCCAGCGCCTAGAGTCCACGTGCCCCTCATGGAGAGACTTCCAGTGTCTCTGCCTTGAAGCCCATCTTGCCCTGCTCCTCGCCCTGCAGCTGCTCCGGGCGGCTGCCCTTGTCCTGGGTGATCTTCCCGGGGATCTTCAGAAATCTGGAATTCAGGCCCCAGCTGCAAGTCAGCCACTGCCCAGCTGTGGGGCCTCCTGCCCTCCCGCCCCACCCCGCCCGCTGTGCACCTGGGCCAAGGCTGCTCACCTGAACAGCAGCTTCTGCCCCGGCTCCTTCTTAATGATGTTCAGCTTATAGTAGTGACGCAGGGCCCGTGACATCTTCTCGTAGGTCATGTTCTCCCGGTTCTGGAAGGCAAAGCAGCCCGCGTTACCCCCCAATTTACCCCCCACTCCTAGGCCTCGGCTTCTACACTGGAAGGGAGCAGCCCGAGTTCTGAGAGCGCGCATGAGATTTCTCTTCAGTTTGGAAGGAGAAAGACGGGGGCGGGGGGGGGGGGGGGTGGAGGACCCTGGGGCGGTTCTCATCTACCAGACTGGGAACCATGAGCAGGAGCAAGTCACACGCTGCTTTAAATAGGGAATTCACAGGTAGTCACGCATAAATACACATTTAGCTGGAAAGGTCATCAGAGAGACTGGTAAGGGGGGGTCAGGGCCAAATGACTTTGGCCAAGTGACGGTTTCCTCTCTCCGCAGGGTGCGCAGTGCAGAGCAGGGGCAAAGCGGCCGGGCTTGGGTGTCAACTGAAGCCCCAACTCCACTGTTTGGCAGCTGTGTGCCCTTGGACGAGTTTCTCTGAATCTGTGTCCCTGGCTGTACAATGAGGACAAGAACATCCATCTCACAGGCTTGTGGTGAGGAGTAAACGGTTAGCACAGTACTTGGCATGTAGCATGTGCTCATTAAACGAACTTGCCACTCTCCAAGCCTGTTTCCCCCCGTACCACACAGGGACTGGGCCAGATAAGCACGGCCAAACTTTATTTATTTATTTATTTTTCTTTTTTTCTGTAAGAGGGCGAAGGGGAGCCAAACTTTAATTGTTTACATTCTTCCAACCACCAGCAGCACTGAGAGGCAATAAAATAGAGCAGAGCAGTGTAGATCTCCAGTCTGGGTTCGAGTCCCTGCTCCACCACCTCCTGGCTGCAGATTCTTGGACAAGTTGATAAACCAGTCCGTACCTCAGGCTCCCCATCTGATAATACCCACCTGCCCTCACCAGGCTGTTGTGAGGAGTGAATGAGTTAATACGGGTACAGCCTTCAGAGCAGTGCCTGCCAATCAAACGCTATACCATTTTAAGAAATGCTATATATTGCAAATTATTGTGATTATTAATAGTTTTCCTTAAAAGACTCGTGTTTTTTTTCCACTTAAATGAATTAATTTATAGACAAGGACACTTGCTTTATATCACCACTGTAAATCATGAGAGTGACATGATAGTTACATTTTAAATTCTAGTTCTTACTAAAATAAGTACTTAGTCATTAGCATCCCTGGCAGACACCATTTGGGTATGGGCATTTCTCGAGCTGGAATGCTGGTCCCAGTCGTCCCCAGGCCTGTCCAGCCCTCACACCGGATGGCCCTGCAGGGCCTGGGACCTGCGTTTGGGCCCAGCTTCCCCAGGGACCAGCTTCCTCACCTGGCCCAAGAGCCCTCAGCATATGAGGTGCAGTTCACGGGAATGAGCTCGGAAAGGTTCCAACGCTAAGCAAAGGGACCAAGTTCCAGGGACAGTCCCCATCCTTAAGAAGTAACTGTCTGTCCTTCAGGATCTCCCCCAGTAAAGCGGTCCCAACACTGTGTAGAGCTGCTGGCGAAGCCCATCAGTTAAGGACTGCCCCTGTGCTGAGGGCCCCCGACCCCGCCCTGTCCTCTTCTGGACGCATTGAGGCCATCCCGCCTGCTAGCTGAGGTTCACCTTGTGGTTTCCCCAGAGTCTGGCGAGACCATTAGGATCCACGACTCGGAAGATCTTGGCATTCTTGTCTTCCCACCTGATGTAGGACTCGTACCTGGTGTCGGAGAGCAGCTGGTACACGTAATCCCACAGCAGCCGGCAGTCTGCAATGGAGCACAGGGTGTAGACAGGGCCCTTTCCTGGCTGTGAGGACGGGCACGAGAAAGGCGCTCTGGGCCCTCGAGGCTGGAGCCCAGGCTGCAGCAGGATGGTGCAGATGATGGCAACCGAAACGGGCCATCACTCATTGTCTCATTCAGTCACCCTACCTCCAGGGCAGGTGTGGGGAAGGTCAGGCCCGCAAATCAACACCAGTTAACGTCACATACCTCACCAAATCAGCCTGACCAATACAGCAGGCTGATTTTAAAGTTGATCATTTTGTCTGGCCTAAGGATGATGTTATAAATATCCAAATGGCCCTTGGCAGGAAAAAAGGTTCCCCATCCCTGTCTAGGGGGTGCTACCTTCATCCCCAGGAAGACATGAGGCACTGGGCTCAGAGAGGTACAGATGTGTCCCAAGGCACCAAGCGCCTGAGTCTAACCCCGCTCTGCAGACACTAAAGCCAATGCCCTCCCCTCAGGGTCCAGGTCCCTGTCTGGCCCTGGCCCAGGCACTCAGCCCCTGGACTCTATTAAATCAGGTTCTGACATCCATCTCCATCCTAACCGGAGATTCAGGAAAAGCAAATGTGCCATTGCAGAGGGCAAGCAGCAGGGGGAGCCCAGGAGCACTGAGCGCTTCAGTCCCACTTCCTGGGTCTCCAAGCTGGTTTCCTCAAGGCCAGAAGTGAGCGTGAAATAGCAGACAAAACAAAAGCAAAAACCTTAGCACAGTGCCTGGTACAGAAGAAACGCTCAAAGAACGTTAAGCACTATTATTTTTAAAATTAAATGATTGTGTTTTAGTGATTCCCAGTCACTTCCAACCCAGAAACCAGGCTTCTTCCCTTTCTGTGGTCTCAGAATAAATATAGTGTCCCCCCCCCTCTTAATAATAAATATAAATATAGAATAAATATGGCTAGAAAACACCCTTTGGTGCTTATCTGTCAGTCTGTCTGCTTGCCTGTCTGTTCGTTAATCCTTTAACAACAAATGCAAAATGGAGATGTATCCCCTGCAGAGCTCAGGCTCTAGGCCAGACTGCCTGGGTTCACAGCCCAGCTCTGCCATTTATTGCTGTGTGAACATGGGAAAGTCACTCAACCTTTCTGTGCCTCATTTTCCTTATCTGTGACTGGGGCTAATAAAAATACCGACCTCACCCTGGCCGGTTTGGCTCAGCGGTTAGAGCGTCCGCCTGCGGTCCGGAGAGGCCTGGGTTCGGTTCCCGCTAAGGGCACGTACCTCAGTTGCAGTTTGTCCCCGGCCCTGGTTGGTCGTGCAGGTGGCAGCCACTCGATGTGTCCCTTCACATCGATGTTTCCCTCTCTCTCTCTTCCTCTCTCTCCCTCCCACTCTGTCTGTACAAAAGATGGAAAAATGTCCTCGAAAAAAAAAAAAAAAAAATACCGACCTCGAGGGCTGTTGTGGGATTAAAGAACCATGTCTGACACATAGTACGTGCTCCACTATTTAAAAGTAAATAAGGCCCTGGCCGGTGTGGCTCAGCAGTTGGAGCATTGGCCTGCGGACCATACAGTCCCGGGTTCGGTTACCGCTAAGGGCACGTATGTATGTAAGTAAATAAATAAATAAATAAATAAATAAATAAATAAATAAATAAATAAATGGCGTCGCTTTCTCTTTAAAAAAATAAATAAAAGTAAATAAGGTCCTGGCCAGTTTTGCTCAGTGGTTAAGGCGTCAGCCCTCGGACCAAAGAGTCTCGGGTTCGATTCTGATCAAGGGCACATACCTCCTGTGCAGTTTGGTTCCCAGCCCTGGTCGGGATCATGCAGGAGGCAACCAATCGATGTGTCTCATATCAATGTTTCTCTCTCTCTCTCTCCCTCCCTCCCTCCCATTCTATCTGAAGATAAATGGAAAAATATCCTCTGATGAGAATTTAAAAAATAAAAGTAAATAAGGTTGGAAACGCTGACCTGACTGACCGGGACGGCTTAATTGTCTCTGTCTGGAGACAGGGGGGCTTGGCAATCCCGAGCAGCACTGCTCACCGTGGCCAGGCTGTGGCAGCACACGGGACAGTCACCCACACCCTACCGCCCAGCAGACAGAACCTCTCATCCCCCAGATCAATACCACCCTCCTCCTTGTCACCTGTGACCTCTCCCCAGGCCAGGGGAACACAGCCCCCTACCCACCTGCAATCCTGCCGTCGATGGGGGCCTGCGGCATCATGGGGAAAGAGCAGACTCCCTCAGTCCTACAGCCCAGCTCCGCACAGTGAGATAAGTCGCGGGACTCCTCCCTGCTGAGGGTACACCTGGCCAGGCCAGGGCCATCCAGATGGCTCAAGGAGTTGGTAAGCTCCAGATCTGGTGGCTGCTGCAGGAGGCCTCGCTGGGGAGCCACTGGAGACAGCCTGGTCCCATCTGCAAGCAAATGAGCACCATTGATTCTATGGACCAGAGCCTCCCCCAGCCCTGGCCTCCTTGATGACATGCCTGGGAGCCCAGTAGGCAGCACTGCTAATAATCCTCCATCTAGGCCCTGGTTAGAAGGTCAAGGAAGCAGCGGAGGGCACGGGTGACGGCCAAGTACTTTGGTGCTAACCCCAGCTCCTAGACAAGTAACTTCATCTCTCAAACCTGTTCCCTCATCTGTAAAATTGTTCACAAAGCCAAGGGGTGGCAGAGCCAGGTCCAGAGCCCAGGCGCCCTGTATCTCAGTCCAGTGTCTTCTCCATCCACCCAATAAGCTGAGAACCTTCGATGAGCCAGGCATTGTTCTGAGAATACTGGGGACACATCACTACACCCAAAAATAGCACCTGCCTTCATGGAGCTTATATTCTAGTTGGGAGTGGAAGGAGATAGATGATTAAAATTAAAAAGGAAATAGAAACAGTATGTAGTATGAGGGGTGAAAACAGAGCACCACAGACTGATAGGAAATCCTGGGAAAGGTGCAGCATGTCGGTCAGAGAAGGCCTCGCTCACATGTTAACATTTGAACAGACCCCTGAAGGAGGTAGAGGAGTGGGCTATGTTGGTATCTAGAGAAGGGAATGCCAGGAAAAGGGAAAAAAAAGTGCAAAGGCCCTGAGGCAGGAGCGTCTCTGGCTTGTTCAATGAACAGGTGGCCAGTGTGGCTGGAGCCACATGAGCAAGGGGGAAAGGGGTAGCAGTGGACGACAGGTGGTAAGGACTGTAGCCTTGAATCTAAGTGAGACAGGAGCCATTGGAAGGTTCTAAGCAGAGAGGTCACATGAACTGACAAATGACTCTCTCCAGCTGCTCTGCTGAGAACAGATCACAGGACATTAAGAGGCCCTGGCCGGTTTGGCTCAGCAGTTGAAGTGTCAGCCTGCAGACCAGAGAGTCCCTGGTTCGGTTCCCACTATGGGAGAAAGACAGCAACCAAAGATGACATTCAACATTTTGACCAGAGCAATTGGAAGGAGGCAAGAAGACTTGGGGGGAGCCAGAAATCAGGTGTTTGCTTTAGGAATTGAGTTGCTGTTGGAGTGGACATCCCATTGTGGGGGTGAGACAGGCAGTGTGGGGTGCTCAATCTGGAACTCAGAGAGGTCCAGGTATGTATGGGAATCATCAGCACTAGATGGTATTTCACACACAAGACTAGGTGAGATTACCCAGGTCCACTGCCTGGCCAGTGTGGCTCAGTGGTTGAGCGTTGTCCCATGGACTGAGAAGTCCCATTCCTGGCCAGGGCACATACCCAGGTTGTGGGCTCCATCCCCAGTAGGGGGCATGCAGGAGGCAGCCGATGGATGTTTCTCTCTCACATCTGTTTCTATCTCACTCTCCCTTCCTCTCTCTCTAAAAAAATTAATAAAAGCATTTTTTTTAAAAAAAAAAAAAAGAAGAGGTGCCTTGAGCCCTGGGGTACCCCAACATTTAGAAGTAGGGGAGAAGAGGAGAAACCAGGAGACTGAGACGGAGTGACCAGTGGGGTGTCCTAGAAGCCAAGGGAAGAACTTGGGGAGGAGGATACCCCACTGGGTGGGAGGCTGTGAAAGGTCCTGGTGAGTGGTCAGGTCATCCCTAAGTTCAGCTCCCTGGAGACCCTGATAAGAGCAGTTTTCATGGAGAGATCAGGAGGAAAAGAAAGGGAGACACCGGCACCCCACAACCACCTTCTGCTGGGGAGGCCAGCAGAGAAATGAGGAGGTGAGAGGCTGGAGGGTCCCAGAGGGCAGGTGGTGCGGGCTGGGGGCAGGGCAGGGGGGAGAGAGGGCGCTCCCACAGGTGGGCCTCTTGCATGACTTTGCCTGGAGGAAGCGCTGCTCTCCTAACGGCCGTTTGGGGAGGGTCTCAGAGCTCTGCGAAGGGCCTTCTCACCTTCCAGGGGGCAGGGGCAGTACTGACTGGACATCTTCGGCCTGAAGGCCCTCCCGAAAAAAGGACCACGTACCAGGGCTTGCCGCTGGGTCTTGATGTACTGGAGCAGCTCATAGAGGACGTCACCTGGGGGCAGGGCAGGAGGAGGGCTGCTGACCAGCTGGGTGGGGAGGCTGGCCTCACTCCCCCGCAGTCACCTACCTCTCGGGTGGCATGTCCTGTCACAAGCTTGGTACTGATGGAGATGGGGGCAGTAGTGCGGTAGGGGAGACAGGGCCACAGGGAACGGGAGGGGAAAGTGAGGGGCAGGAGCCCCTGGGGCTCTGAAAACAACAGCCACTCTGGGTCCTTAGCCGCAGGCCGGCTGTGGCTGCAACCACCGGGCAGACAAGTGCGAAGAGAGGGGCGTGGGCAGTGCTGGGGGGAGCACGGTCCTGATCCTCCCACCGACGCCCGCGGCTCCCTCCCGGGCCCACCTGGGTCCCCGCCGGTTTAGAGCACAGCCCGTGCGGTTCAGACCTGAGCCCGGGGCGCGCAGCCGGAAGTCGTCCTTGGTGAGGATGCAGAGCGCGCGGCCGTTCATCTCGAAGCCGTGCTCGCGGGTGCGCTGCAGGGAGTACTCGCGCTCGGCCCAGCGCAGCCAGTGCAGCACGTCCTCGCGGCTCCAGAGCGCAGGCTGGATCCCTGCAACACGGGAAGCCCACCCTGAACGCCCACCGGGGCAGACGCCCCCCTGCCCTGCCCCACTCCGTCCTTGGCTCTGTCACCCGGTCCTGTGCTTTCTTTCCTGGCACCTTACTTTCTTTGTAACTGCACTTTCCATTTGATATAATTATATGTTTATGTGTATCATTATCTAGGCATTATGTATGTATTCACTTATAATTCTGGTGCCCCCCCAACCGCACCCCCACCTCAGCCTGTTTTCCGGTTGTTCATCCAACAAATGTTTAATGAGGAGCTGCTCTGGGCTGGGCGTGCTGGGGCACACTGTGTATGGGTTCCAGGACAGTGCCTGGCACATAGGTGCCCGTCAACACAGTTGAATGATTGCATGAATGGCCAACCTGTCCTACAAAGAGGCTGTTATTGTTACTGTTTTCCAAGTAAGGAAACCAAGGCTCTCAGAGTTTCAGTACCACAGTGGCATGAGGTACAACCAGGTCTGAACCAGGTCCGCCTGGCTGCGGTACGCTTCCATTCGGTGATGGCAACAGCGCAGATCTGGGTGTGCTCAGGGAACAGCCCAGGGCAAGGAGCCTCCACCCACCTTATCCCTGGGAATACCCAGACAAGGGGCTGCCTTTGTTTATTCCCCCTACACTTCTAGTCTGCCTTGGCTTGGCTGCTCCTGATACCAGCTACTTACCTCCCTAACCTGGCTTGTTTCGCAGGGCCATAACCTGACACTCACGGGCCCCTTACTCAACTGAAAATGTTTTTTTATTGATTTTCTTTTAAAGAGAGAGGAAGGGAGAGAGAGAGATAGAAACATAGATGTGAGAGAGAATCATCTGCCTCCTGCACGCCCCAACTGGGGATCGAGCCTGAAACCCAGGCATGTGCCCTGACCAGGAATCGAACTGGGACCTCTCAGTCCATGGGACGATACTCATTCCACTGAGCCACACAGGCCGGGCACACACAAAAAAAATTTAATTATATGTTATGACTGTATTGGCATAAAGTGAGTATACTGTTTTATATTAAAACATTTCCTTCTACCTAAAACCTTTTTTTCTCCTGATTTCAAAAGAAATTGAAATATTTTCATGGGTTCCTGAAAGTCCTGGGCCCCAGCACTGTGCCCCTGCAGTGAGTCAGCCTGGCGTTTTGCACAGTGCGGTGCTTTCCCTCTTAAGAGCTTGTGTCCCTCCAGGACCCTGAGCCGTGTGACAGTGGAAGGGGCTCAGGGTTCACTGGGTCCAGTATGACTGGTAAGAAACCGCGGCAGAGGAGAGAAACAGCTGTCGAACACCGCACCCTGGCAGTGACAACCTCTGACTGTCTTGTTCCCAAAACAACATGAGAGATCAAAGTAGTTTTCACATTAAAAAAAAAATGTGCACCATCTACTCATTCATTCATTCAGCCAATATCTAACAAGCAAGAGCCATGTGCCAAGCTCCGGGCCACCGCTGGGGACGGCACAGAGCGAGGCTGGCAGGAGGGAGGGACCCCAGCAGGCAGAGGCTGTCTAATAACAAAGCTAGCCAGCTGCACAGGGCACTGTGCTATCGCAGAAAGCGGGGCAAGGCAGCCCGGCTGGGAAGGAAGGACAGGTTTTCCTCACCTGACTTTGGGAACTAATTGTGAATAAGAAAGAATAAATGTCTGTGGACCAAAAAGTTATTTAAGGGGGAAAGAAGAATAGAGGTGACAAGTCACCTTTGTGGTACCACATACCACAAAGTCATGTAATCAAGATCCAATGGTATTAAACTAAGGTTGACAAGAATCACTGAAAAAGAAGAGGGAGCGCTGTGTGTGTGTGTGTGTGTGTGTGTGAGTTAAAGTATGACAGAGGTAAGATTTTAATTCAGGGGAAAGGACAGTTGATTTAAGATGTGGTAAAACCACACTGGCTCTCCCCATGGAAAAAACATATTTGCACCCTCACCTCCCACCATTCACAAAAATCAATTTCTGATGAAATAAGGCCTAACAAAAACCTCAACAGAAGGAGAAACAAGAAGCCTGTGCACTAAACAAGGGTAGGGAAACCTCGACCTCGACAGGAAACTGAGGCTGCAATACAAACGAAAGACACGCTTGACTACATTAATTTTTGTGTGGCAAAGATATCATCAACAAAGCCAACAGGGGGCAGATTTCGGGGAAATACAGTAGTCACAAATCACAGATAAAAGACTAATACCTGTCAGAGGTCAAGAGCATCTCTACATTTTTTTTTAAGACAAAAATATCCCACCTGAGTTCACAGAGCAGCAGGATTGCTTAGCACTGTGACACCTCAGGCCTGAGAACCCCTTGCTGTGGGGCTGTCCAGCGCTTTGCAGAAGTTTAGCAGCATCCCTGGCCTCCGCCCATTCAATGTCAGCGGTACACACACCCCCACAAGTTGTCACAACCAAAAATGTCTGCTGACATTGCCAAATGTCCACAAGGGCAGGGGAGCACAGTCTCGGCCGGTTGAGAACCTCTGCAGAGGAGCACCCCCACTAAACACGTGGGAAGAAATGCACCCCGATAGTCAGGGCCTGGCGCGACCACAGAAGGATGAGTTGCTGTTGTGAAACGGGAACTCGGAGCCACGGCGGAGCTCAGCCTGGTGGTACAGGGCCAGGCAGGTAGGACTCCGAGGTGGCAGTGGCGAGAGTCAGGGCTGTCTGGGCTCCGGGCTAACTGGCGGTTGCATTTTCTGCAGTGTTGCCTATTTCGTGATATCTGAGGCTGTCAGTCTGAAAATTCGAAACTATAATTTCTGAGTCAGAGGGCCCCATTTTCCCATGTTTGGCCAGAATGTGGGGATGGGTTCCACCCCAACCCCCCGCTGTTCTGCCTCCATGAGAAAATGACAACAGTAAGAGGGGAACACCTGAACTTACAGACATTCACAACCACACACGTGGTCCTGCTCCCAGATCCAGAGACACGGGCTGCACACTTTCCGAGCTATCTCTGAGGGACCCTGAGGTCACGCGCAGCCCACAGCAACCCGAGGCCTTGAAGCCTGCATCTGGCTGGACTGTCGTTTGGTTTTGCTTTCATTATGTTGTGCTCATTCCTACCCTTGCCTTTCATCCCATCGCTGCCAGCACCTCCGGTCCAGTGATAAAGAACAGGGACCTTGCTCCCAGGTCTGCAAAGAGTACTAACATCAAAGAGCTATCGAATAGGGCTTGTGCCCTAGGAAAGGACCAGGTTCCGAGAAGTGGGTCAGCCACCTAGCTTGTGCCCAAATTCCCAAGAGTTTGGGTTCCAGCTCAGCCCCTGCTAGCCAATTCCCCACCCAACCTCCCTCAGCCTCCATGTCCCCCTCTGTGAAATGGGTTAATAGCAAGCACTGCCTCTCTGGGCTGCTGTGCTGCCGGAGGGACAGTGTGGTGCAGAAGTTGTGAGCCCAGCATTTCCACTTCTAGGTAAAGACCCAAGAAACACATCCACTGAAAGGCATGCATGCAAATGTCCACCGTGGCTCTTTCACAACAGACAAGCACTGGGAACATCCCACGTGTTTATCAGCCAGAGAATGGACACGCGAACTGTGATATTTTCATGTAATAGATGCTGCTCAGTAATAAACCAGAAAGTACAGCCGAGTGTTACAACACATGGGTGAAGCTTACAGATTGTGCTGGGGAAGGAAGCCAGACATAAAACTGTGATCAAGAACGGGCAGTGCTCCTCTTGGGAGAGAAGTCAGCAGAGTGGTCCTCTGGAGGGGAAGTGACTGGGAAGAGACACAAGGGAACTTTCCGGGACACAGGAAATGCTCCAGATCTTAATGTACTTGGTGGTCACACTGGTGTATACATACATTAAAAAATGCAAGGAGTTGCACACTTATGATTAGTATACTTGGCTGTATGTAAGTCATACCTAAAAAAAAAAAAAAAATACAACAGCAAAAAGTACCCATGCTTGTGCCAGGTCAGCGGTCAACAATGGGGCCTAAATGACTGTCTCAGGTTTCTCATCTGGATCTGGGCCAGCCTTCAGCAACCAAAGCAAACACAAATAGGACCAGCCCCTCAGGGCTGTCACGAGGACTCTGAGAGAATCCACTTCAAATCCAGCGCCGGGCATGTGGTGTCTGCCTTCCGAGACCCAGCTCTTCATGTTAGATGAGGTCACGCGTGTGAAATGCCTGATGGGGCCCAGCACGCCTGCACCCCAACAAATGCCGGTGCCCTTATCTAAGGAGTGGACTCCCCCCAGAAGTCTCCCTGACCTCGTGACTGGGATGGGCCTAACTGGGGCTCCCTTCCCAGTCGAACCAACCCCCCGGGGCTTCACCTGCAAACCAGCCCACAACTTCTCTCTCTCCGCAGTGATCCGCTGTGTTTTCAGTTCCTTCACACCAACCATCTTTGCCTCGCAAGACTCCAGCCCGATATCACCTTCCTCTCCCTGCCCCAAGCCTTGCTCACAGGGAAATTCCAGTTTGGCCAACAACCAGTTTCTGGACAGATCTGAACAGAGACCCTGCTGTCTGGGGCAGCCAGAGGAGCTGCCTGTCCAGGGCATGGTGAGAGGGCTTGGGTGTCTCCCTGAAGAACAAGCAGGGCTGAACATGGGGGCTCCCCCCAGCTGTATTGCCCTCAAGGCCCTTACCAGAACTTTGTGCTTCCTCGTGTAGTCACCCCCACCCCACTGGAACATCAGCTCTGTGAGACACAAACCTTGTCAGTCTCAGGCATTTCTGTCTCTCCAGCACCTAGAGCCATGCCTGCTGCATAGTAGATGCTCAATAAACATATATTGCCTGACTGCAGGAGCTAAGCAAATCAGGGAGGGCCAAAGAGGCCTCTGGGCATCCTGACCAACCTCTCTCACATTAATCTTTCCCTCGCTCTCTCCCTCTCTCCCCCCTCCCTCCCATTCTATCTAAAATTCAATGGAGCCTGGCTAATGTGGCTCAGTGATTAAGTGTAGACCCATGCACCAAGAGGTCGCCGGTTAGATTCCCGGTCAGGACACATGCCCAAGTTCTGGGCCCAATCCCCAGTGGGGGGCGTGCAGGAGGCAGCCAATCGATATTTTCACTCATCAATGTTTCTGTCTCTCTCTCTCACTTCCTCTCTCTCTAAAATCAATAAAGGGGAAAAAAATGTAAATGCCCAGGGCTCTCCTATGGGTGAAGGATGTGAGCTTGAGCATCCTCTGTTGGAGCTCCCCTAGAGCCCTTGCCCCTCCTGTACCCTGCTGGGGAGTTGCAGACAGATACCACCCCTCTGCCTGTGACATCTGAAAATTGGAGGTGGCACTCTATATCTCTTCCTGTGGCTCCACAACGAGGAGCTTTAAAAATGAAAACACAATCCTCTCCATCCAGCAGTGGGAAGTCCACAGAGCTTTTCCCCAGGAATGAGCTCCTGGAAAATCAGGGACTGGGGACCGAGAACTGAGAGTCCCGGGCTGAGGCGCTCTCTGACCATCGTTAGACTCTTGCTCTCAAGGAGTCTCTGTTTCTGTCATCGAGTGAGGCTGTGCTGGTGATCATGTCTAAACTGACTCCTCTCAAAATCCCCCCAGTTGATCTTTGAGGTGGCATCACCTCCTCCCAGACTCACTCCCTGTGATCTCAGCAGGGGTCCTGGAAGTGGCCACAGGGCTGGCCGTGCCCTCATAGCTCCTGACTCCCCAGCCTCAGCCGGCCCTCAGACGGGGCGATACTCTCTCTCTCCACTTGCACAGGGGGACACACAGTCATGAGTTCCCTTTTGTGAGTGGGGGTCACTCTTCCAGAGCCCCAGGAATCCCATCCCTCCACCCTGCCCTCCGCCTGTCACGACATCAGGATCCCCCTGCTCTGCGGCACGGGGGCCTGCGGGGCCCTGGCTGGTCGCACCTCGGGGCGCTGACTTACAAAGCTGAGCCAGGTTTACTTCGTGTGTTCGCCTTCCCGCTGGGGCAAAGCAGCACCGCTGATTAGAACGGCGCTGGAGGTGGAGGAGGGAGCGGGCTGGGTGACTGGGAACGAACGTCAGGGCCATGCCAACCCAATTTCCGGAGGCGTAAGCATTGGACTGATGTCACCCAGCCATCTGAAAGGTCAAACCCTCATTAGGTGTCAGCAGTTGGCTTATGTGGCATGTTGTTGACAGGAAAATGAGTCATTTAGTGTACCCTATCTTCTAAGACTGTTAGATACTTACTAAGGGCCAGACTGGGCTGTCTGAATATTTTCGGAAGTAAATATGAGTCACAGAATCTACATGAGAAATATAAAAGACACCGTCGGTGCCCGGCCCGTGGGCTGTAGCTCTCACCTCCATGCTCGGCCGGACTCAGCCAGTGAGCAGGCCCCTGGGGAGTCCATACCCCTGGAAGCAGCCGTCATCCCATCAGGATGAGAAGTGAGTGGATAAAGGTCCAGCTTCCTTCCCCCTGGGCTGGGCTAACTCAGGGTGTGCTCGCACTGTCCCCGACAGGTCCCCACCGGGACTGAGCTCCAGGGGTCCACAGTGCTGTTGGCCTGAGAGAACAGTCTTTCGAATTCCTTCTTTCCTCTGTGAAGTATTTCAGGGTCTGCTTCTGGAGAAATCTAACCCGGGGCAATAAGACTAGTACCTCAGGAGCTTGAGAGAGGTCACATGACCCTGTATTCTGAGCTGAGTCACCAGGGACCAGGCTGGTCCAGAGGGGAGGAAACTCCTGTCTCTAGAAATGAGCAGGAAGACCTGACGACCGTCTCCGAGGGGCCCCACTGAAGGGGACTGTAGTCACCAAATGGGAGTCTCAACTTTCTAAGTCCCCACTTCTGTACCCTCTCACCTAGTAACCTTGAGTTAGGTACACAGTGGAAGGCAGGGACTGAAGGCTACTTGACTTTGAGAAGAATGAATCTCCTGAGCTTCGGTTTCTTTATTTGGAACATGAGGGAGTTACCTGAGGTGACATCTAGGGTCTCTGCCAGTTTTGATGTCCTAGGACTTGGTGAGCTTGTTGTGGGAGTGGTCTTTGAATATGGGGGAGGCCATGGGGGACAATCCAGAGGGCTCTGGGGGCCTGCAGAGAAGGCCCTCCCTCTCTGAGGCTGTGACCTCAGCTGCCACGAGGACACTGGATTAGATGACCTCTAAGGTCCTTCCCAGCAGCAACACTCAGGGTCTTCAGGTCTGTCCTCCAGGTCCTGCTTTTCCTCATCACCATGGCTTGGACTGGGAATGGAGCCCAAATCCTACCCTCTATGTAACTGTTGCCAAATGCCTCCTAGAAGCAGCCCTGAGCCCCAACTACCGGTCATGGTTGGCATCTGGACAAAGGGAAACAACAGAGGTTCTTACAGACCTCCCCGCCCTTCTCCCCACACACCGCCACTTCCCTCCACCGCTGCTCTGCGGCTCGGGGCCTCCACACTCTGGGCTTCTCTCCTGTCCATGCGTCCACGTCTCGGACCCCACCTTCCCTCTAATCGTGGCAAGGCAGGCTCTGTCCCCCATTTAGCAAATGCCAGGCAGCAGGGAGGCGAGGCTTTAAGGAGCAGCAGGCTCTCCGCAAGCCTGTGAAATCCTAACCACACTCTGCTCAGTCCTGTCGGCGCCTCAGAAGCACTCTGTGGCCAGGAAATCAGAAGGGTGTGACATCGATAAAGCGGTGTTCCAGCCATTGGGCCACCCAGCAGGAAGTGGCCTGGGAGCCCCAAGACCCTCGCTCAGATCAAAGATCCCGCGGCTGTCAGCTCGCTGCCTCGCCCATGATTTCCACAGATTAGAAAGTGCATTCGCACATCTCTTAGAAGATTATCGCCTGGCCGGTGTGGCTCCGTGGTTGAGCGTCGACCCATGCACCAAGAGGCCGCCAGTTCGATTCCTGGTCAGGGCACATGCCCTGGGGGGGGCATGCCGGAGGTGGCCAGTTGATGTTCTCTCTCATGGATGTTCTCTCTCTCCCTCTCCCTCTCTCTCTAAAGTCAATAAAGGAAAAAAAAATTTTAAAAGATTATCAACAGGACCAAGGTTTAGCCTTAACATGGAGAGCCTGTGTGATCTTCAACGTCGCTCAGCGTTTCTGCCTCTCAGCGTTGCCATTTGAAACACAGGCGTAAATATATTAGTGGAGTGGAGTGAAAGAACATGGCCAATATATTTCCCGTGGTTATTTTTGGGTGCATTCGATTATTCTGTATATATTCTTCTTATACTTCTCTGTCATTTCCCAATTTTTGATAATAAATACATGCTATTTTTATAATAAAAATTAAACATAATTATTTAAAAGAGGATTCTAGCCCTGGCAGGTGCGGCTCAGTTGGTTGGGCATCATGCTGCGCACCAAAAGGTTGTCGGTTGTATTCCTGATCAGGCATGTGCCTGGGTTGCTGGTTTGATCCCCAGTTGGGGTGTGTAGGAGGCAGTCGGTCGATGTTTCAGCCTCACATTGATATTTCTCTCTCTCTCTCTAAAAATCAATTTGAAAAAAATTTAATAAAATAAAAGATGATTCTACATACACACAACTGTTCACGTTTAGCCCCGACTGGCTTCCTCACTGGCAATGTCCCCAACTCTTTGTCTGTAGGCTGGGAGGCACGCGACAGCTCATCGGATCCCAACATGTTAGCAGAGAGGAGACTGGCGCCCTGAGTCATGTCAGCTGTATTCTCTGCAGGGAGAATTCACATTTACCGCCTCTGACTGCCTCGCCGAGGAATAAAGAACACCCAGCAAAGACGCGGCACATGGAGGGACGTTAAATCCTTAAATAAGAAAAGTTAGTGCTTCCCATTTATGTCCTTTAAAAATATCACCCTTTCCCCTTCCTTCTACTCACGGAGCCTTCCTGGCAGCCTGCAGATCCCCTCCTCGTCCAGCAGGTCCCCTCGAGCTTCGCACCTGGCTTGGGCCTGGGTGCCTGGAGGTGGCGGGGCTGCCACGGGGCTCACAGGAGGACTGGCCAATGCTCCCTCCTAGAGGATGAAAAACCAGTGTAGTCAAAGCTGAGCATCTTGGTGCAGGCTCAGTCATCCTGAAATGTATTCAGAATTTCTTTCAAAGGGAAAGAGCATCCATCTCCATGTCTACCTTAAAGGTAGGAGCCAGTATGTCTTCAATGGATACAATCAACATCTTGTACACAGTGGACAGTTGATAAATTCATCTTTCCTAGTCAAGCTTTTCGGGCCTGTGCCTAACCCCACCAGAAGGCCTCTTTGCCAAGACTTGACTTGTAAGTTGGAAATCTGAGGGCTTAATAATACTCAGTGAGAACCCGAGGGGCCAGGATAAAAAGACCTTAAATCAGAAATAAACAAACAATTACATGCTATTTTCAAAAGAGAAAAAGGAAGAATAAACTTCTGAACCCCAAAGTCCCACCAAAGGACGTCTGTATCTTTACAATTTTACCATCAGCCTAGCCCCCAGGGGTGATGTAGTGCACTGAGCAGGGTGAGGGGGTGAAAAACATGGCAAGGTTTTGCAGAAGCAGGGGGATCCTTGGGGCTGATGCCCAGCCACAGGCTGCCATAGTCTAAAAAGTGAAAGTGAAACCAGTCCCAGCAAGAGTCATTGCCTCACTCTGGGCTCTTCTGAGCCTTACATTCATCCCTTGGTGTCCGAGGAGGGCCATCTGCAGTAAAAGACTGGACCTGAAGCCAGCAAAGCAAACTCCAAAACCTTGGTCACTGCAGAAGAGGATTCAACAACTTCTGGGGTAATTCCCACTTCCTTCCTGGGTGCCCCCCATCCTGCCCCAGTTGGTGCTGTTTTCCAGGTAACCCAGCCTCAGAGGCAGCGGAGCTTGCCAAGCTGGAGGAGGGGCTGGAGTCCTAGAACCGGCCTAGGACTTCTAGAAAGATCCTTGTCTTCCAAGCAAGAGGAACGGGGAATTCCAGGCCCGCGGCTGCCAGGCTGCAGAAGGCCAACTGGGGAGCTGCTGAGGGAGAGCTCTGGGTGCCGGCTTGAGGGCCAGGCAGGAGTGTGGGAAACAGACATGGATGTGGATCCTGGGGAGAAGGGAGCAGAGGAAGGCCTTGGGGGTCAGAGAGGGTACCCAGCTCTGGGCACATTCTGAGGCTCCCAGGAAAATATGACGAATGAAGAGGAACTGCTAAGAAGAGGGGCCCCTGCGGGGAGCTTCTGTGTGGCAGCTGTGAGGGTCTGGCTGGCGCAGAAACGTTCAGAGATTTCACACCTGGTTGATGTAGGGCTGAGGAAAAGGGAAGGAGGAGCCGCACACAGAGCAATTTCAAAGAGAGAGAGCAAGGGGCTGGAGGGGGGTGCGGTGAAGGGAGTAAGGGGGGAGGGGGGGGTCGAGATTTGGGAATGTATTGGAAAGTGAGACTCCAGCCAGGAGAAAAAGTCTGATAAAATGAGTACGGAAAATTCGGTGGTGGAGAAGGGATGGGGGCAGTTGGTTTTGCGTCCGCGCTGCGTGGTTCGGCCGCCGGGCTCTTACCTGCATTACAGGTGGAGGCGTGGGAGCCGCCCGGCTGTCCGTGGTGAGCGCGCAAAGCCCGCAGCTGCTGGGCGCCAGGCCGGAGCTGCCAGACCCTCCCTTCCCAAACCCCTAACTTGGCCCGGAGAGCTGAGATGTCTCGTGGGAGGAAATCTCTTTCACCGAGTGCCAGTAGCGTGCGCTCGGTTCCCGGCGAGCAGGCGCGCAGGGCGCTCCGGTAATCGCTATCCTTCCGGGAAACGAAAACGAAAGAGCAGGATCCGGCTTCCACTCCCGCCCCGGCCGGCTGGGGGGAGGGCAGGGCCGGCCCCTGCGGGAGCCGAGCCCGGGGCGCTGTGGCTCGACCGGCGGGAGGCGTCGGTCCCGCCCGCATCTTGCCGCCGGGTGGGCAGCCCGGCCCTGGCTTCCAGGGAGATGAAGGTGGGATTCTGCGGAATCGGAGGGGCCAAGGGAACCCCTGGCCCTGGGCTCCCGACCAAGACAGACCAACTTCAAGTTGGTCTTATGTGTGTCCATAGATGGATAGGAGGGGGCCCGTTCATGCTGTGCATCTGGACCAGGTGCCTCCTCTTAGGGAGGGTGACCTTTGCCCGCATGCCATTTGGCTGGGTGGAGACCCCAAGGCCCTGGGCCCGAGAGCCACCAGCAGAGCTGGCGTTGTGCCCCTCCTGACCTAGACCCCAGTACTCAGTGGATCCCGACTGGCACCTTTTCCCAGGCCTCTGGCTGCCTGGGGCATGATGCGCCCCTGCCTGCGTGCCCTGCCTCAGCTCCTGTCTCGAGGGAAAACGAAGAGAGGTTGTAAGCACTAAAGCAAACCAACATGCCCACCAAAGAAAAGAAGGGAAGGAGCCTTAGTAGCCTTCTGCCAGAAATCTCAGGGTGTAAATGCTGTGATAAAAAAGGCTTAGCACTGATATATTATGGGCTCCTAGAAGCCAATAAGAACAAGGCCAGAAATGCAACAGAAAAATGAGCAAAGGATATGAATAGGCAGTTCACATAAAACAAAATACTGATGGTTCCTGACCATGGAAAAGGATGCTCAGACTCCCTCATTACAAAAGCTGTGCAAATTAAGTTATTCTCGAGATACAATTTTTACCCGATTAGTTTAACAAAAATTCAAAAGTTTAATGACAATCTGCTGGAATGGCTGAGAGGAACAGGCGCGTCACTGGAGGCACAAAGTGGTATGAGCCCATGGAGGGCCCTGTGGCAGGATCTAGCAAAGCTACAAATACATTTACCCTTCACCCAGCACTCCCACCAATGGCAGTATTACACACTACCGTGTGTGTGTGTGTGTGTGTGTGTGTGTACACTGGTATTCATACAAAGACACCCCTGGAAGGATGTGTAACAAACAAACATAATTGGGATTCAAGATAGAAAGGAAGAGGATGGGTTTTCATTGCAAACTTTTTTATATTGTTTTGATTTTTGAACCATATCATTAAATATCTATTCAAAAGAGTGTTTTTTTAAAAGAAAGAAAGAAAGAAGTTTAAGGACCTGCTCCATGTCAGCAAGCCAAAACCTAGGTGATATGGAAATAAGGCATGAGGCAGACTGAAAAAGTGGGGACATGCCCTGGCCGGTTTGGCTCAGCAGTTAGAGCATAGGCCCACGGACCAAAGAGTCATGGGTTCGACTCTGGTCAAGGGCACATACCTTGGTTGTGGTTCGTCCCTGGCCCTGGTCGGGGTCATGCAGAAGGCAACCAGTCGATGTGTCCCTCTAACGTCAATGTTTCTCTCTTTCCCCCTCCCTCCATCCTTTCCACTCTATCTGAAGATAAATAGAAAAATATCCTCAGGTGAGGATTAAAAAAAATAAAAAGGGGACCTTTCCTTTTGGAAGGACAAAGGCGGTGCTACATATGATCTAAGTCTACAAAATTATAAACCCATGTGAGCAGGAATAAGTAAAATCCCTCCCTCACAAAAGAAATATGCATAGATGTTTCATGCTCAATAAAATAACTATTTATTTCATTTTTAAATAACACTTTTCCCACAAAAAACTCAAACATATACAGAACTTATAATTTATAATAACAAACTTTCTTAATACCTATACTACTTCTAAAGGAGAGGAGAGGGGGAATATGAGGTAGACAGAAAGGAGGAGAAAAATGGGGCACTGCGGATCTGGACATGGGCACCAAGAACTGGGGGTACCCAGGGAGGGGCCCAGGAGAAAGCACCCATTTCTGTGACCTCTGATTTCAGAACAAGGTTCAGTTTCACTTATAGAAGGAAATGCTCAGGATCTCCTCACAAGGAGCACTGGGACCATCCACCCGCCTCCATGGGCCCTACCATGAAGCAATCACAGCTGGTGGCTCTGAGCAGACAAACGGTCAGTGAGTCCACAGTTCTCCAACCAACCAACCAGGCGTAAACCAACAAGGACAGGTAAAAAGAGAGGGAGCCGGAGAAGGGTCTTCTTCCCATCTGTGCCGCTGGGTCTCATGTTTCTCCGAGGGTAGTAGGATAACAGAACTTGACATCTACATTCCTTTTACATCAAATGGTTATTCCAGATGAAGCGCAGCAGCTGGTGAGCTCCTCCAAAGAAAACCACGACAAAATGAGCCAGGGCATCTCTGCCTTCCCGCTGAAGATCCTGTTTTAAAAAGGAAGAGAGAGGGATATTTTTAAAAGGCAATAGAATAATCCAAAGTTAAAAATTCAGTATTACTATTAATTCAATCAACACCAGAGAACAAGCTTCTTGGGCGCTTTTCGAATTGCACAAGCTGAAGGAGAGGATCTTGGGAGTTTAGTCATGTCCATATCTTCCACACCACCTTGGAAAGTTTTCCCCTGGACGTGTTTCCCCATCTTAACCGGCAGCAAATGGGGGCCCTCTGTTCAGGGCCGATAACTGCTTCCTTTGGCTTCCCAGAGCACTTCTTCATCCTCTCAAAGGAGCGAGGGAGTTTGCTTTGGGGTTGGAAGAACTGTGGGACTTAGACGGGTGGAGAGGGGAGTGAATGGGGGCAAAGTGGGAGGTGATGGGATCACAGCAGGTGTGTGGAGCCTGTGTACGTGGGAGCGGCAGGAGGAGGAGGCTGGGGGTCCACACAAAGCTCTCCCTGCCCCTCCCCCTCCTCCTACAGTCTCTTCTCAGCACTGCAGCCTGTTGACTATTGAAATGTGGCTTCTCTGCTCAGAGTTCTATGGCTCGGGGCCCCCCTCAGAACACAAGTCCTGCCGGTGACCTGAAGGCCCTACCTCACCTACAGCCAACCCGCCACTCTGACCACATCTTTTACACCTTCTCCCTACTCAGCTCCAGCCGCACTGGCCTCCTCGCCCCTTCGAAGCGGCCTCTGCACCGCTGTCCTCAGCCAGCCCCGACCCCTCCAACGCGGTGTCGGGTCTGCTCCAAAGTCACCTTCTCAGCCAGGCCTTCCCTCAGCTCCTCTGCCAAAACTGAAAATCCTTGACCTTCCTCATCCCCTTCCTTGCTTTATTTTTCTCCAAAACAATTATGACTGTCTGATAAACCATACACTTTATTTATTAGGTTATGATTTGCCTCTTTTAGAGTGAAAACTCCGAGATGAGGGAGCTTGTCTCTTCTGCTCTCTGCCTTGTCCCCAGGACTGAGGCTGCCCGACACCCAGGGCCTCAGCACATATTGGTACTAAATGACGGGATGAAAGTGGTTGGCAGCAGGGTAAGAATTTAGGCTTTGTCCTATCAGTAACCGGGAGTCACCGAGGATGTTTCCCTTTTATCTTTGACATCAGTTGACATCAGTCAGCACAGCAGACAGAAAAACGAGCCAGGAGCCAGGTGCTCGTATATTTAAATTCCGGTTCTGTCCCTTAGTTGCTGAGTGGCCTGGCGTAGGTGACTGAATCTCTGAAGCTCAACGGCTCTCCTGAAATACCTATATTACTGGTGTATAGGGTTATTGGGAGAATCAAAATAAAGGAAAAGTTCTGTTTTCCTTCTACCCTCTGGGAGTGTTTTCAAAGAGGACCTGGAAGAAATTGTTTATAAATGTTAGGGGCCCTCCCCTCTTCCTAACAAAGTAAGAAGTTCCTTGTCATTACTGTTATCAGGCAGAGTCCCAGAGAAAACAGTGGCACACTCAAATTAGGATAATTCAGGGAGGGTTGAATAAGGGGACTATCTACCAGGGGGTAGGGGACAGAAGGGCAGCACAGCACCCCGTGCTGGTAACTGCAGAGCCAGGTACCCCTGGCCTGTGGGGACAGGGAGGGGTCAGTGTCTAGAACCCAGAAGGGAAGAGTCCTTCCTGGAGAGAAAAATGTCAAAGACACATTTAAGAGCCTACAAATGATGGGAAAGCTATTATGAAACACACTTTCTATCTAGAAAAATGACGTGCCCTGGGTTTAAAAAAAGACCAGGTCCTTGAATCAAAACCCTATATAACTAAATAGCAAAACATGTTATTGCGAGAATCAGGCCCATCTGGAAACAGAACTCGTGCTTCAGTGAAAGCTTTCTTAGCAGATGAGTCGCTCCGCAGGGCAGTCGGATCCGTGGACAAAACCATGACATTCCAAAGGCAAGAATAAGATTTCTTTGAATATATCAAAAACAGGAAGGGATCTGGAGAATCAGTGTGACAACTTGATTAAACAGAGTACAAAGGTGAACAAGTGATGACCACATGTAAAAGAAATGAACCGCGCCAGAGTTTAAATTCTGTTCAAGTTGCTTGATTTAAGCCTGAAGCACCAAAGTGAAGCTGTCAGCATTTTACAGCCAGACTTAAGTGAAATTTCTAAAATTAGCTTTAAGCCCAGACCAGTTTGGCTCAGTGGTTAAAGCATCAGCCCACAGACCAATGAGTCGTGGGTTCGATTCCGGTCAAGGGCACGTACCTCGGTTGTGGTTCGTCCCCGGCCCTGGTCGGGGTCGTGCAGGAGGCAACCAGTCAATGTGTCCTTCTCACATTGATGTTTTTCTCTCCCTCTCTCTACCTCCCTCCCACTCTATCTGAAGATAAATGGAAAACTATCCTCTGGTGAGGATAAAAAAAGAAAAGAAAATTATTTTTAAAATATGATGTGGTCTGCTTAAAAGTGTTCTAGAATACAGCTTTGTGGAACAGGACAAGATATCTTTAAAAGTCTGGGTCAAAGCCAGCTTTATAAAATGCTGCAAGAAAAGCTAGGGCAGGCAGAGGGATGGGCATACCGATCGATGGAATGGAGCCGAGAGGCCAGAAATGAATCTTCTTGTTTACAGGCAATTGATTTCCAACATGAGCGTCAGGGAAGGGATAGCTTTTCAACAAACGGTGCTGGGACCACTGGACACCCACATGCCAGACTGAAGGTGGACTTTTAAATCACACCACATACAAAATTAACTCCAACTAGATCAAAACTTAAATCTAAGAGCTAAAACTATAAATCTCTCAGAAGAAAACATGGGTGTAAAATCTTCATGACTTTGGATTAAGCAATGATTTCTTGGATATGACACCAAAAACACTAGAAATAGAAGAAAAAATAAATTGAACTTCATCAAAATTAAAAACTTCTGTGCTTCAAAGAATACCACCTAGAAAGTGAAAAGACAACCTACAGAATGGGAGAAAATATTTGCAAATGATATTTCTTATAAGGAACTTACATCTAGAATATATAAATAACTCCTATGACTCAATAATAAAAGACAAATATTTTTTTACAGGGGCAAAGGATCTGAAAAACATTTCTCCGAAGAGATACACAAATGACCAATAAGCTCATGAAAAGATACACAACATGAGCCATCAGGGAAACGCAAATCAACACCACATGAAATATCTCTTCAAACTCATCAGGCTGGCTATCGTAAACAAAAGCAGCTAATAACAAACATTGACGAGGATGTGGAGAAACTGGAAACTTGTACACGGCTGGTAGGAATGTAAAGTAGGTCAGTCACTTTGGAAAACAGTCTGGATGTTCCTACAAAAAGTAAACAGACTTCTCATATAGCACAGCACTTCCATACCTAGGAATGTACCCAAAAGAACTGAAAATAGCCCTTGCCGGTTTGACTCAACAGTTAGAGCATCAGCCCAAGGACCGAGGGGGTTTGGGTTCAATCCCAGTCAAGGGCATGTACCTGCGTTGCAGGTTCGATCCCCAGCCCCAGCCAGGGCACATGCAAGAGGCAACCAATTGATGTCTCTCTCTCACATTGCTGTTTCTTTTCTCTCTCTCCCTCCCTCCCTTCCACTCTATCTAGAAAATCAATGGGAAAATATCCTCAGGTGAGAATTAACAAAACAACAACACAAAAAGAACGGAAAATATGCCCTGGCTGGTTTGGCTCAGCAGTTAGAGCATGGGCCTGCAGACCAAGGAGTCCCGGGTTTGATTCTGGCCAAGGGCATGTACCTTGGTTGTGGTTCGACCCCGGCCCCAACTGGATAGTGCGGGAGGCAATGGCTGTGTCTCTCTCACATTGATGTTTCTCTCTCTCTCCCTCCCATTCTGTCTGAAAGATAAATGTAAAAATATCCTCGGGTGAGCATTAAAAATAATAATAAATATAAAAAGTCACCCCCCCCCAAAAAAGAACTGAAAATATATTCTTCACAAAAACATATAAACAAATGTCCATAGCATCATTATTCATGATAACCAAAAAGTGGAAACAACCCATATAGCCATCAACTGATGAATAAACAAAATGTGATATATACATACAACAGAATATTATCCAGCAATAAAAGAAATGAAGTAATGGCATGTGCTACAACATAAACGAGAAGAAAAGCTAGGGTCATTCCGTGTTGATTTATGCAGCTGCAGAGGTGAATTTAAGACTTATAAGTAAATGACAACTTAAAAGGCAAAGGAGATTACATTTGTCCTACTCTGGTCTCTCCAATTCAGAGAAAAATATTAGCTGGACCCATGAGTATTCAGAATTAGGTGATCAAAAAGCAGGAAAGTTGAACTAAAGAATTTCCTGGAAGAAAAAGTGAGAACTTTCCTACAGAAGGAGCTGGAGCCTAGAAGGGAGACAGTTAACATCAGAGTGTGCTGTAACAAAGGATAAAGAGACAGTCAACTCCAAATATCGAAAGGGCAAAGACAAAAAAAATAATAATTTTTTGGTTTAGATAACATTTATTGATCATTTTCTGTGGGTCAGGCTCTGTTCTGAGTGATTCACATAGATTCTCTCATTTAATTTTCACAACAGTCATAAAAGGTAAATACTGTTGTTATCTCCATGTTATAGATGAGACCCAGGGAGGCTAAGTAACTTGCCCCATGTCACAGTAAAGAGTGGTGAGCAGACTTTGTATTCAGTACTGGGACCCTAAAACCAGCACATTTAACCCCTTACACCGCAGTTGAAGACTCAATGAGTCCATGTGTAAGTATCTCTTCTATGTATGTTGGGCTTCTGCTGTAGTGTTCAGACATGGTTGTCCACCGAGGCCAAGAGTAAGGCTCTCAGGTGAGGTGTTCTCTGAGGGGCCCCATACAGGAAATGTACAGAGGTAGGAAGGCACCCCACCTCTCTCTGCGCCTCACACTTTTGGGCCCCGATGTCAGAGTGTAGATGCCTGGAGGTGGCTCCTGGGAGAAAAGGGGGCCAAATAGTAGAGACAGTAATGGGTGGCGCACGTGTTTTGGAACCAGCGGACGTGGGTTTAGGTCCTAATTCTGTAACTCACCAGCTGTGTAACCTATGAGAAGTTACTTGACTTCTCAAATCATCGATTTCCTCATTTGAAATGTGAGAACAGTAATAGTCCCAGATTCACTGATGGTTGTAAGAATTAATAAAACAATGCAGCCCTGGCCAGTTTGGCTCAGCAGTTAGAATATCAGCCTACAGACCAAAGGGTCTCGGATTTGATTCCTGGTCAAGGGCACATGCCTGAGTTGGGGGTCTTTCGGGAGGCCACCGATTAATGTGTCTTGCATCAATGTCTTTCTCTCTCTCTCTCTCCCTTTCACTCTCTCTAAAAATCAATGGAAAAAAATCCTCAAGTGAGAATTAACAAAAAACAAACAAACAAAAAAACCAATGCAGCCCTGGACAGTGTGGCTCAATGGTCGAGCGTCATCCCATGCACCAAAAGGTCACCGGTTCAATTCCCAGTCAGGGCACATGCCCAGGTTGTGGGCTGAATCCTGGGTCAGGCCTTGGTGGCAGGCAGCCAATCAATGTTTTTGTTTTTCTCTCTCTCTCTCTCCCTCTCCCTTCCTCTCAATTCAATAAAAACAGTTTAAATAAATACACAAGAATAAAACAATGCAAGTGAAACCCTTGGCATGGCTCCTAGCAAACAGCAAGCCCTCAGTCAGCACTAGTTATTGTTACACAGCTTTAGTTTATCCTCCAAATAGAGTTGGGCTGGGAGCAAGGCCATTACTGATCCTGTGAACCCAGGGAGAAAGCAGCACTTTATAATCCAAATTCTTACAATCTCAAATCAAACGTCTCCTCTAACTGCAGACTGGGATTTACAACTCCTGCACAACTTCACATCTCCGTCTGCGTGTCCAGTAGGAACTTCAGACTCCCGTATTTCCCCCAAACAGAGCTCTGTATTTCCCCCAAACCTGTTCTCCAGTTTCCTCCATCCCAGTAAATGGCACCGCCACTCATTCAGAGGCTCAGGCCCAAACCACTCAAGCACTGCGTTCCTTTTCTCTCATTCTGCACATCCAGTTCATCAGCCAATCCTGCAGGCTCTACTTTCATATTCATCCGGAGTCTGATCATTTCTTACCACCTCCACTGCTACACCCTGGTCGCAGCCTTTGGGGTCTCCTCTGCCTCTCCAGCCCCTGCATACAGCCTGCTCTCTGCACCACAGCCAGTCTCCATTCTAAATGTAAGACTGTTCCTCTCCCGAAGCTTCTCTTATATTCTGCATAAAACCCGAACACCTACCACTGCCTCTAAGACCAAGGCCAACTTCCAGACCTCACCTCACTCCACTCCAGCCATTCTGGCCTCCTCGCTGTTTCTTGAGCCTGCTCCTGTAGCAAGGGCTTTGCACTCACTGTTCCCTCTGCCTGGAACGCTTCCCGGCTACGTATTCCCACGCCTCACTCCCTCACTTCCAGTCCCTGCTCGAACCTCACCTCCCCAGAGATATCACCATCCCTGATAGCCCATGCAAATTCAGTCTCCATCACTATCCTCTACTCCTGCTTTGAGTCGGCATCCTATCTGACCTGTCCACTGCGTTGTCTGTCTGTCTGTCTCCCAGATTGTGAGGTCTACGAGAGGAGGCTCATCTTCTGTCCCGCTCTCTGCTTTAGCTACCAGCGCTTGGAACTGAGCCAGGCATATAGTAAGTGTTCAATAAATATCTGGTTGAATGAAATTGGTCTAGCAAATGTTTTATTTGATTGTCTGTGTTTATTTTGTCTTTGTTTCCTTCTTGCTTTTAGTAGTGTTGTTGTTGGGACTTCCCATTCATGTTCTGTCTTTGGGAATGTTTTATTGAAGGAAACACTGTCCACATTTAGGCCAGGGCATGAAAGAAGACACGGCACCCCGAGCCAGCGCGGTGGCAGCAGCAGTGATGACCAAGAACCATCAGGAGAGGAGAACTGAAGGGCAGGAAGTTGGGCCCTGAGGGGCAGCCACCCTCCTACCATGGAGTGCCCCCCATCTCCCCTCTGCTGCCAACTGCAAGTTGCTCTGAGGAAACGAAGTTGGCTGTGGGTTTCATCACCCCTAAGATCTCAATAGCAATCATTATTCTTTTCTGTTTTCCCTTATTATCTCTTGTAATAATCAGGAGAAACTAAGAAATCGGGGTAGTGGGGCTTGGAGCATACCTCTGGGCTGGTCCAAGAGGATTACGACAATCTGAGGCAGAGGTTGTCCTCCTTGACTGAGCATTCGATTCACCTGGGGAGCTTTAAAAACTGCCCTCTGCCCAGGCCACACCTCATGTCAATCAAATCAGAATCTCTCAGGTGGGGCCCGGGCATCTGTAGGTCTTAAAATTCCACAGGTGATTCCAATCAGCATCCTAGTTTAGGGTGTGGAGCAAAAGCTCTGACACTCTAATGGGCACACAAATCCTCTGGGGTGTGTGTAAAAAAGGGGGATGGTGATTCCAGCGTGTGGGCTTGGATTTTGCACACCTGGCTGGCTGCTAAGTGCTGCTGAGGCTCCTAGTCCATGGACCACAGTTTGAGCAGCAAATGTAAGGTCAAATACTGACCTTGAATCAGGTTCACAATTTTCAGATCTAATGCTTGGTAATCCAGACATTACTAATCCATGTGTTCTGCTAATTCCTGGGCATCTCGTTCACTCAGCAGCCACTGTTCTGCCTGCTCTTTCTCCTATTGGACAGGCCCTTGCTGGAGAAACAGAGGTCTCACCTCTTGAACCATCCTGTGATCAATGCTGTCTCCAATGTTTTTCAGCTGCACGGCCAACTTTTGGATTATCTCCTCCTGGTAATCGTTCTGGCCAGTGCTGTTTTCCTTGGGCTGCGAAGGTGAATTGTGATCTGCATTAAGATAACAGAGTTCAAATGAGGTACTTCATTAGCTATCTGTGAAATTACTTACCACTAGTAACTAAAAACCGTCTTAGACAAAGAGAGGGATGAAAACCCATCTTCATCATGATTATCAAAGAAAACAAAGCCTTGCATTGAAGTAGACCAGTTCTGTTCAATATTAATTTTTAATTTTCAAGTTATATTAATTTTTATATATTAATATCTTAATTTTATTAACATTAATTTTTAATTTTCTACTAGTAAAGTCAGATAAAAGTTAATTAGTAATATATTTTACTTAAGCCAATATATCCAAAGTATTATCATTACAACATATAATCAACATAAAATTATAAATCTATGTTTTGCATTTTTTTTATTATGCCTAAGTCTTCGAAATCTAGTGTTAATTTTTTCTTACAGCACATATGAATTCAGAAGCTAACTTTTCATTGGAAAACCGGGATCTGTGTTTAGATTTCATGAAATTTACATTTAAAAAAGTAGATTCATATATCCAAGTTGTTCCAAACATACTTGAAAGTTTTCCAATGATTAAATCAAGTATCCGTTTTTTAAATTAATTAAAGTGAAATTTGGCTCTTTAATCACTATATTTCAAGTGCTCAAAAACCAGTAGTCATGGTATGGGATAGGTCTGGATCTGCACACTTCTTAAAAGTAGATTTTTCCTTTTTTAATCCACAATCCTTGAATGAATTCCTATTTTCTTCCAGCAACCAATGAGTGTTTTTAAGCAACACTAGGAGCAAACTACTGTGCTGGGTGCTTTGGGAAACTTATAAAAAATAAAAAGACAAGGTTTCTGTCCTTAAGTTTCTCACAACACACTGATCAGGGATGAAACTATTCCCAAGTGCTTTAGGACTACAGAGAAGAAAATAAAATTGGGCTAAAGTAGACAAAAGTATGACTTCATAAGTATAGCAAGTTTCGCATTGAAATTATTTTGTTCCAATAAAATTTGGGGACTTTGATTTTTCAAGTTTTATACAAAGAGAATAAGCCTTGTCTTCAAAGAGGCTAGTAGGAGAGAGACACACACTACAATTCAATATGTCATAGTAAGAACAGGGTCTGCACAGAGGTAGGGAAGACATCCCAATGGAGATATCTAAATTCAGTCTTGAAGGAAGAAGGATAAATAAGAATTAGTTGGAAGCCCGGCTGGTGTAGCTCAGTGGATTGAGCCTTGTCCCATGGACTGTGAGGTCCCGGCCCAGGTTTCCAGCTCAATCCCCAGTAGGGAACATGCAGGAGGCAGCCAATCAATGTTTCCCTCTCATATTGCTGTTTCTCTCTCTCTCTCTCTCTCAAAAAAGTCAATTAAAAAAATTCTTTTTAAAAAAAGAATTAGCCAGGAGAGGAAGAGAGAGATAGAGGCCAAAGCCAGCTGGGAGAGAGTGGCAAACAGAACATTCCAGGCTGAAGGATCACAGGAGCAAAGACGTGGGGGATCTCACAGTGAGTTCTTGTGTGTAAACTTTAAGTAATGCTATTGTTGAAAGGCAGGGAGTGATAGGAAACAAAACTAATAGGGTAGGCAACAGAAAAATCATGAAGGGAGAGTAAGAGGCTTGGACTTTATCTAGTAGAGCAAGATCCCACTGAAGGGTTTTAAGCAGAAAATGATATGACAGATTTGCTTTCTAGCTACAGTATTTCCTTCTGGGATCAGAGTGGAGAATGGTGAGACAGGCAGGGAATGCGTTTAGGGGCTACTGCAAAGTCCTGAGGATGGATGATAAGATGTTGCCTAACAATAACTAACATGCTTACTACATGTCAGACCAGACATGCATTATTTTACTGACCACTCCCTCACAATGACCCCCATGAGGACATTTACCTGTGTTACAGATGAGAGAGCTGTGCTTTACAGAATGCTTTTCAACCTTGGCTCCACCTTAGAATCTTTGGCCAGGGTGGAGTTGGGCCTTTTAAAACTCCCAGTGAAAACTTCATTCCAATGACATCATTATCCTGGGAGTTAAACCAAGCACCAGTTTTTTTATTTGTTTGTTTTTTTTTGTTTTTTTTTAAGCTCCCCAGGTGGTTCCTATTTGCAGCCAAGTTTAAAAACCAGTGGTTTAGAAAATAGTTGAGTACGTTGCCTGAGGATTGAAAGTCAAAGAACTTAGTGAGAATGTCAAGGAACTTAGCGAGAACCTCAAGAGCATAAAAAAGGACCAGTCAGCAGTGAAGGATGCACTAACTAAAAAAATAATTTATAGGGAATTAATAGTTGAGTAGTTGAAGCCAAGAAGCAAACCATCAAAGTGGAATATAAGAAAGAAAAAAAACACCCAATCAGAAAAAAGAATCCTAAAAAATAAGTATAGTGTAAGGAGCCTCTGGGACAACTTCAAGCGTACCAACATTCACATCATGGGGGTGCCAGAGAAGATGAGAGAGGGCAAGAAATTGAAAACCTATTTGAAAAAATAATGACAGAAAACTTCCCTAACTTGGTGAAGGAAACAGACATACGAGTCCCAAACATGATGACCCCAAAGAGGCCCACACTAAGACACATCATCATCAAAATGCAAAAGGTTAAAGACAAAGAGAGAATCTTTTTATTTTTAATACTCACCTGAGGATATTTACCATCGATCTTCAGATAGAGTGGGAGGGAGAGAAAGAGAGAGAGACACATCGACGTGAGAGGGACACATCAACTGATTGCCTCCTGCACGACTCTGACCAGGGCTGGGGACAAATCACAACCGAGGTATGTGCCCTTGACCTGAATCAAACCTGTGACACATTGGTCTGCGGGCCGTCACTCTACTACTAAGCCAAACCGGCCAGGGCCAAAGAGATAATCTTAAAAGCAACAAGAGAAAAGCAGATAGTTAACTACAAGGGAGCTCCCATAAGGCTGTCAGCTGATTTCTCAAAAGAAACTTTGCAGGCCAGAAGGGAGTGGCAAGAGATATTCAAAGTGATGAAAAACAACAACCTACAACCAAGGTTACTTTATCCTGCAAAGCTATCATTTGGAATAAATGAACCTATAAAGCGTTTCCCAGACAAGAAAAAACTAAAGGAATTCATCACCACCAAACCAGTATTATATGAAATGTTGAAGGGTCTTCTTGAAGAAGAACGACAAAAATATGAACAATAAAATGGCAATAAATACATATCTGTCAACAATTGAATCTACAAACAAAATGAGCAAGCAGAACAGAAACAGACTCATAGATACAGAGAACTTTTTGTTGGTTGCCAGATGGGAGGGGGGTAGGGGGATGGGTGAAAAAGGTGAAGGAATTAAGAAGTATAAATTGGTTGTTAGACTGATGAACCTCAAAGGGAAGAGGGGAGGGAGGGCGAGAGGAGATAAACCAAAGAACTTCTATGCATATATGCATAACCAATGGACACCGACAATATTGTGGGAAAGGCAGGAGAGGGCAGGAGCGGGGAGGAGGGGTCAACGAGGGAGAAAAGGGCGCACATCTATACATTCAACAATAAAGATAAGTTTAAAAAGAAAAAAATTAAACACTAAAATACCAATAAATAAATAAATTATATTAATGGATATTAGGTTATTTGGTTAACTATGATGTACAGAATATAACTCTGTGTGTGTGTGTGTGTGTGTGTGCACGCTAATGATAATTCAGAATACTGAATCACACCTTAGAGTCCTTGTATTAAAGATGCCAATCGTTGCTTAGTGGTTAGAGCATCGGCCTGCGGTCCAGAGAAAGATGCCAATCATTGTCTGACTTGCCCACACCCCTTTCCATGAGAATCTGACCTGTTGCCTAAGCAATCAGGTTCCTTCCTACATGGTTCTGCCCCAACCCCAGGCCACAGTTGATTGGATCAGAGATGGACATCTGATGCAAGAACCAATAATCTATTGTATGGCCAGGTACTCAGAACCTAGTCCCAAAACAGGGTCCCTTCCTCTCTGTTCAGTGTCAGCTTCTCCTCTGGTCAATGTAGGGGAAGAGTTGGCAGCTCGAGCAGGAATGCCACAGGATTAAGTTGGGCCCAGAAGAAGTCAAAGTCATTTGCAAGTGAAAATTACAAAGGGGAAGGAAACATTTGAGGAGAGGCAGGGGAAGCCAGCAGATAGAGAACTGAGCACTCAGAAAGAAACCAAGACTCAAAAGGAAAAAGAGACTAACCCCCGCAACTGCCTCAGAATCTGAACCCTCCACATTTTTTTTCATAAGCATCCTCACCAGAAACCACAGCTTTCTGGAGGTGACTAGAGTTGGTTTCTCTTCCCTGCAACTAAACAAATAGTCATAAGTGCTGTGTTAATTAGCATTGTCCAGAACTGTCCTATGGTAATAAAACTGTGTAGGAGATTGTAATGGCTATAAATCGGCTTCAGCATAAACTCTGGAAGTGAAATTTTAAAATCACGTTCCTGATACTACAGTGTCTTGTATTTTTGGTTCAGGTCCTGAATCCACTCCTTGTAAAAGCTGAATGCAAAATGGATTGAGCTGTGCTGTGCTCAACCTATACATGGCAGTGTGTGATGGCTAAAGAGAGTTGGTATACCTGTCCTACAGACATTTATACAATAAAATAGTTATGCCACCACAGTGTAAGAAATATTATAAGATAACAGGAAATAAATAATTAAATTAAAGCTCTAAAATGAGCATACATTGAGGTGAGAAGTCTTGTGAATGAAATAAAAAAGTAAAACTCTGTATTATTTTCCAAGTATTGAATTTTTAATACCCAACGGGGAAAAGTATCTCGTTTTATGCTAGAAAGTTGTGTGAATACGTATATATCCATACAGAGTTCTGAAAATAAAATCATAGTCCAAATGGCCTAGAGGGGAATTTGGGAAAATCTCATGGTTAATCTTTTTGTAAGAATAATTCCTTCATAAAGTAATTAAGCCTCGATGCATTGGAACTTTTTAAAAATATTGTATATTGAGAATCCTGACTCTGCCCGGCCGTCCCTTCGGTTGCATCGAGGGAAACCTTTCAGCA